GCACTTTTAGAAGCTTATTTGCTTCTTCTTCAAAATTCCCTGTTCTTTTTTGTGGTATCTTCCATTATGGCACCTTTAGTTTCTTTTGTTTTTTGCTAATTATTTTAAATGTACAGATAGTATCTTTTTGATTTTTCTGTTATCCCTTGAGTTTCAGGTACTTCTGCTCCTATATGTAGTGCTTGCTAATTTGCTTCCTATTAAAATATTTACTTTTAATGATTTATTTATTTATTTGAGTGGCAGAGTTAACAGATGGTGAGAGGGAGAAACAGAGAGGGAGGTCTTTCATCTGCTGTTTCACTCCCCAGATGGCTGCAACTGCTGGAGCTGGGCTGAGTCAAAGCCAGGAGCTTTCTCTGGGTCTCCTATGTAGGTGCAGGGGCCCAAGTACTTGGGCCTATCTTCTGCTGTTTTCGCAGGCCATTAACAGAGAACTGGATCAGAAGTAGAGCAGCTGAGACTTGAACCAGTGCCCATTCTACTGCAGGTGGAGGCTTAACCTACTACACCACAGTGATAGGCCCCCTAAAATATTTATTTGTGAGTTTAGGTCAGGAGCCAGAGCTTCCTTTGGGTCTCCCTTGTGGGCACAGGGGTCCAAGCACATGGGCCATCCTCTAATGCCTTCACCAAGGAGCCGAATCAGAAGTGAAGTAGCTAGGACTCAAACCTGTGCCTATATGGGATGCTGGCACTGCAGGCAGAGTCTTAACCTAATATACCACAGTGGTGGCTCCCATAAAATATTTGTGAGCTCAGATCTGGAGCCAGGAGTTTCCTTTGGTCCTCCATGTGGGCACAGGGCCCCAAGCCATCAGCAAGGAGCCAGATTGGAAGAGGAGCACCTGAGAGCTGACCGGGGCCCATATGGAGTTACTGCCACAGGTGGAGGCCCAACCCACTATGCAACAGCGCCTGCCCCTGTAATATTGATTTTATACCTGCTTTTGAGTTCACTAAGTTTTACATTTCTTTCCTTTCTCCTATTCTCACCTAGGGCTCCAGGTATACTGCAAACTTCTTTGTTACTTCCCTGAATGAGTTGGCAGAATTTTTATGCTTTTCTTGTTAGGGATAAAGCAGCTTCTGCAGTGTCTCAGCTTCATGGTAGTGTTTGTTTTAGATTCCAGCTGGAGTGGCCTATGATGGTTCTTGTTAAATGTAGGTGTTAAATCTTCAGTATTCATATTCTGGAATGTGCCTTATTAGGTGCTTGTTTGAGTTTACTATTCTGATTAAGCTTTCCATCTTTGGATCTGACTTATATACTTTATTTGTTTTTTTGGGGGGGCATTTCTTCTTTTTCTTAAATTTTATTTATTCTAGTAAGGTTTGATAGAGGTAGTTTCTGCTTCAAGTTGATTTGCTGTTGTGAGTTCAGTTTTGTTCATCTCCTAAATGCCCTGATGTTCTATGCCCTCTTTCTGAATACATTTTTAATATTATAATTTAGTTTTCATCATTTCTTTTCTTAAATTGTGTTCATACTAGCTACCCTACCTCTAATATTTAGTCTGTTTTCTATTCCAAATGGTTATCAGTGCTCTTTCTCTAATAGATCCTTTTCATTTCCTGGCATAAAAATGCATTAATGATTTCCTGTTGCATTTAGGGAAAAATAAAAATTGTTTAAATGCTTTTTTACTTTCTAGCTTGTTTTTGAAGATTGATTTATTTATTTGAAAGGCAGAGTTACATAGCTAGAGGGAGGGAGAGAGATTGTTCATCCACTGGTTTACTCTCCGAATGGCTGCAACTGCTGGAGCTGGACCAGGCTGGATCCAGGAGTCAGAAACTCCATACAGGTTTTCCATATTCTCAGTTGAGTTAGCCAGGAGCTGAATCAGAAATTGAGTAGCTAGGATTTGAACTGGTTCTCATATGGAATACCAGCGTGGCAGGTGGTAGCTTAACCTGCTGTGCCAAAATACTGGTCCCTCACTTTCCAACTTTTAACTTAAAAGCTTTCTTAAATGCCAGACAAATGTGTCAATTCTGCTTATCAGCAACAGATGCTGTTTGTAGTTGTATATAATAACTTTAGTTTATGGTTGTTAATACTTTGTGGTAGAGTTGTATTTGTGCTGTTTTTTGGGATGTTTTGTAAACATCAGTAATACCATTATATAGAACATTTCAGAAAGTTTGTGGAAAAGTAGAGTTATAAGATGAGTTTAGATGTGAAAGCATTTGTAAGTTCATGCATAATGTTTTCTTTGTTTTTAAAAAAAGATTTATTTATTTGAAAGTCAGAGTTATAAGAGAGAGGAGAGGCAGAGAGAGAAAGGTCTTCCATCTGCCGGTTCACTTCCCAGATGGCCACAATGGCTGGAGCTTTGTTGCTCTGAAGCCAGGAGCTTCCTCTGGGTCTCCCACATGGGTGCAGGGACCCAAGGACTTGGGCCATCTTCTGCTGCTTTCCCAGACCATAGCAGAGAGCTGGATCAGAAGTGGAGCAGCCATGACTCGAACTGGCACCTGTATGGGATGCCGGTACTGCAGGCAGCAGTTTTACCCGCTATGCCACAGCGTTGGCCCCATAATGTTTTCTAATTTTTTTAATTTAAGATTTATTTTATTTATTTGAAAGAGTTACAGAGAGAGGTAGAGCCAGAGAGGGAGAGAGCTCTTCTATCCTCTGGTTCACTCCTCAGCTGACCCCAATGGCCAGAGCTGAGCTGATCCAAAGCCAGGAGTCAGGAGCTTGTTCCAGGTCTCCCATGTGGGTGCAGGGCCCCAAGGAGTTGGGCCATCTTCTATTGCTTTCCCAGGCCATAGTAGAGAGGTAGATCAGAAGTGGAGCAGCTGGGACTCAAACCATGATGCTGGCACTATAGGCTGGGGCTATAACTCGCTGCACCACAGCACCAGCCCCCATCATGTTTTCTTTCTTTTTTTTTTTTTTTTTGAAATATTTTATTTATTTTATTTGAGAGGTAGAGTTACAGACAGTGAGAAAGAAAGACCGAGAGAAAGGTCTTCCTTCCGTTGGTTCATTCTCCAAATGGCTGCAATGACCGGAACTGCGCCGATTCGAAGCCAGGAGCCAGGTGCTTCTTCTGGGACTCCCACATGGGTGCAGGGGCCCAAAGACTTGAGCCATCTTCTACTGCTATCCATGCCATAGCAGAGAGCTGGATAGCAGAGAGCAGAGAGTGGAGCAACTGGAACTCAAACTGGCACCCATATGGGATGCCAGCGCTGCAGGTGGAGGATGAACCTATTGGGCCATGGTGCTGGCCCCCTATCATGTTTTTTTAATATGTATTTTCCATGATCTTTTAAAGACCCCTCTCATGTATACATGGTTTTAAAACAATTTTTGTGCCCAAATCAACTAATCTTTTAATTCCATTTTCAATTACTTTTTTTAAAGATTATATATATATATATTTTTTTTTTTTTTTGAAAGATAGAGTTACAGAGAGAGGTAGAGACAGAGGGAGAGAGGTCTTCCATCTGCTGGTTCACTCCCCAAATGGTCGCAACAGCCAGAGATGAGCTGATCCAAAGCCAGGAGTTTTTCCAGGTCTCCCACGTGGGTGCAGGGGCCCAAGGGCTTGGACCATCCTCTGCTGCTTTGCCAGGTGCATTATTAGGGAGCTAGATTGGAAGTGGAGCAGCTGGGATTCAAACTGGTGCCCATATGGAATGCCAGCGCTGCAGGCCAGGGCTTTAACCCGCTTTGCCACAGCACCAACCCTTTTTAACTTTTTTTTTTAAAGACTTATTTTTTCCTTCTTTCTCCCCGTTTCCCTCCCCCCCCTTCTCTCTCTCTCTCTCCTCTCTTTCTCTAAAATAAAAATGAAAAAAAAAAAACAAAAACAAAAACAAAAAAAAAGGACTTATTTTTATTTATTTGAAAGGTAGAGTTATTGAGAGGTAGAAGAGAGATCCTCCATCCACTGGTTTACTCCCCAAATGGCTGCCACACAGCCTGGGCTGGGCCAGATCAAAGCCAAGAGCCTAGAACTCTATCTGGGTCTCCCACGTGGGTGTCGGGGCCCAAATACTTTGTCCCACCTCTGCTGCTTTCCCAGGCTCATTAGCAGGGAGTGGAATTGGAAGTGGAGCACAACTGGGACCCGAACTGGTGCTCATTGGATGCCAGTGGTGTAGGCAGTGGCTTAACCCACTGCACCACAATACAGACCCCTCCATGAGATTTTTGAAGTACTCTTATAATCAGTGGGTGCAGAAGATAATTGAAAATGGCGTAATGATGGGATGGATTAAGAGGACAACTTCACATGTATGCACATTGGTTTCTTATATAATGATACCTTGGATACATGTACAAATAGGGAAAGGGTTTCAGAAGTGAGCATGTTGAAAGAGGAGAAGCTTTTGGAATATCAAATCGTCTGTAACATAGTAATGGTTTTCTTTACCAATCTCATTTCTCACCATGCTTCCATTCAGTGCCTTCATACCTTCTTCCTGCTGTCCTTTATGGGCCAGGTGTGTCTCCTCTGCTGTTTGTATTCTTTGCATACTTCTGTCATAATATTATGGCAGTATAACATAATACTTCACTGTCTGTTCCTAGACTGACCTTTTGAGGGTAGGGTTTCCATCTTTTATTTCTGTCTCCCATTATTAGTGTAATATTGGCAGGTACAGTGGTAGTCTAATAGGCTCACTGATGTCATTATTACTGCACTGAAATATGGTAACTTTTCTTTTTGGCCTTGCTAACTCATGTAGAAGTGGTTTATATATTTAAACATAAAACGGGGTGATATAAAACTGTAAAATTATGGATTGTCATATTTTGGAAATGCACCATCAGTCTTTGTATAAAAACTTATTACTAGATACTCTGTATTACTTCCCTGCTGATTACCCTAATACTTAACAATTGAGTAATTATCTTTTCCTACCAGTATTCATATTATTGTTATTTTTCTTATTTTGTTTAGAGAATTTCAAGAGATCTTTGAATATTAGAATGTAAAAACATAATTAAAGAGTAATGCGTTTTTCTACTTCCTTAGATACACCTAAGCAACATAACCAAGAAAATGGTTGCAGAAGAGATAAAGATGCTCTGGGACCTGTACATGATCTAACTGACAGGTAAAACAAGTTTGATTTTCAAATTAAAAATTTTTTTAAAAGATTTATTTGAAAGGTAGAGTTATAGAGAGAAAGAAAGAGAAACAGAGAGCTCTTCCATCCACTGGTTCACTACCCAAATAACTACAATGGCCAGAATTGGACTAGGCTACTGCCAGGAGTCTGGAATTCCATCTGGGTCTCCCGTGTGTGAGACAGGGGCCCAAGTCCTTGGGTTATCTTCTTCCCCTGCTTTCTCAGGTACGTTAGAAGGGAGCTGGATCAGAAGTAGAATAGCCTGAACTTGAACCAGCACTCATGTGGGATGATGGTGTTGTAGCCAACGGCATAACCAGCTGCATCACCACACCGACCTTTCATATTGAGTTTTTTATTCCTATATTAATTTTAGTCTCATCTTGAGACAATTTCCAAACTTTTTCAGTGTGAGATAGTGCATAATTTCTCCCTCTTAACCAGGAAGTACTTTTTTTTTTTACTGAAGACCCACTTTTCCACATTTATGATGCAATGACTTTTTTTAATTCTTAATGTAATTATTATGTTTCGTGGGGATTATCTGATTTTTGAAGAATAACTGTATGGGAACTATCTGATGGAAGTTTGGGGGTTTTTGCCTTTTTGTTACGATTCCTTTTCCTCCCTCCTTTTCTTTCCTTTCTCTTCCTTCTTTTCTCTCCCTTCCTCCCTTCTTTCTTCCTTTCCTCCATTCCTCCCATCCTTCTAGGCTTTATTTACTTTGTTTTAAAGGCAGAGAAAGAGAGAGAGAAACATCCTCTGTCTGCTGGTTCACTCTCCACATGGCCATCACACCTGGGAATAGGACACTGTGAAACTCAGAGTGAGGAACTTCATTTGAGTCTCCATGTCAGTGGAAGGAACTCAAGTACTTGAGTTATCATTTGCTGCTTCTCAGGCAAATTAGCAGGGAGCTGGATCAGAAGTGTAGGAAGCAGGATTTATAGTAGCACTCAGATGTGGGATGCAGGTGTCTCATGAGGCAGCTTAACCAGCTGCACCACAATGCCCGCCACCCCACGTGTGAATACGTTTGAAACTGCTCTCTGTCTATTGAGTGTTCCAAGAGTTTGGAGGCTTTTGAGATCATCTAGTCTGATAATTTTCAGACTATCTTCTATAGAACCCTTTGATTCTATGGACGAATCTGATTTAGCTGGTGGTCAGTCTAAACCCTTTCCCATTTCAGCCTAAGTAGCTTGCTCTTATATCTCTGTAATATATTAGGATATTTGATTACTCATTTGATAAATGCTTTAAGAAGAATTAGATGACTTCTGATGTAGTCTATCCCCAAAATTTAACCTACAGAAAACCCAGATCTAAATTTCTTCAGGAATATTCTCAATTTCTTTATTATCTGTTTTCTTTGTTTTTTCATCTTGGCTCTTAAAACTGATGATACATTATATAAGCAGAAAATCCATAGACTAAATGTCTACAATTTAATTGGGGAGTACTTTTGTTTGTTATTGAAATTAATTATTAATCAGTAACCAAACATATACATACTCAAAAGATACCTTTTTTATTTTGTTTTTCTTTGTTTGCCCTTCCATCTAAATAGGTATCTTTCTGTACATCTTCTAGATGAGAGACAGATATGAAAATAATACATAGGAAACTTATAAAAAATTCTAAATTTTATTTTTTAATTTAAAAAGGTTTATTTATTTGAAAGAGTGACAGACCTGGAGAGATAGAGTCAAGGAGAGATTATCCATGCACAGGTTACTATCCAAATGGCTACAACATCTGGGTTTGGGCCAGGCTGAAACCAGGGGTCTTAGAACTTCATCTTAGTCTCCCATGTGGGTGGTAGGGGCCCAAACACTTGGATTATCCTCCATTGGTTTTCCCCGGGCTCATTAGCAGGGAACTGGATTGGAAACATAGCAGCCAGGACTCGTACCCATGTTCTCAAATGGGATCTTGGAATCAAATACAACTACTTAACCTGCTGTACTACAATGCCAGCCTAATTCTAAATTTTAAGTAAAGCACTGTTAATGCTATATCCGCTTAATAATAAGATAATAAGTTGAAACAGTATAATCAGAATCAAAACTTTCATGTGAAATTGAGCTATGGACAGTTGCCTCTGCAGTAACTTTTCAGTTCACAGGAACGCAGGACTAGTTGCAGAATCATGTTTTTATTCTTAAAACTGGATTTGATGATGTTGATTTTCTGAGTACCTAAAAAAAAATAATGAAATCTGTGAAGACTTGATATTGAAGAGGTACTAAAGTTACTGCTTTGTTCTTCATTTACCCGTATGTAACACTTGTTTTTACTATGTGCTAGAGGGATATAGTTAGTGCTTACCAGTCTTGATTATGATTTTGATTTGTCTTAGCTTGATAGAGTAAATTAAAACTTTTGATTAAGGTCTTTTACTAGACTGATGATTAGTGGGAATACTAAATTAACATATAAAGCAGATTTTATTTACTTATGTAAGATTTATTTATTTTCTTTAAAGGCAGAGTTACTGAGAGGCAGAGAGAGGGAGGTCTTCCATCTATTGATTCACTCCTCAAATGGCCCAGTGGCCATAGCTGTGCCAGTCAGAAGCCAAGAGACAGGAGCTTCTTCTGGACCCTACGTGGATGCAGGGTCCCAAGCACTTTGGCCATCTTCCACTGCTTTCCCACGTGCTTTAGCAGGGAGCTAGATCAGAGTGTAGTAGCTGGGACTCAAACTGGCATCCATTTGGGATGCTGGTACTGCAGGTGGAGACTACCCACTGCATCAGAACACTGGCCCCACAGATTTTATTTATAATTCCATTGCACTTTAAGATTTTTTTTGGACAAATTTTATACAAAGTTATAATTTAAAATTCTGTAGGAACCAGATACTAAAAATTTTGAAACTTATCTTTTTTCTTTTTTTAAAGATTTTATTTATGTATTTGAGAGGTAGAGTTACAGAGAGAGAGAAAGGCCTTCTATCCTCTGTTGTTTCACTCCCCAAATGGCTGCATTGGCCGGAACTGGGCTGATCTGAAGCCAGGAGCCAGGAGCTTCTTCCTGGTCTCCTATGTGGGTGCAGGGGCCAAAGGACTTGGGCCATCCTTCACTGCTTTCCCAGGCCATCAGCAGAGAGATGGATTGGAAGAGGAACAGCCGGGATATGAATCAGCGCCTCTATGGGATGCTGGCGCCGCAGGCAGAAGCTTAGCCTATCACATTACAGTGCTGGCCCTGAAAATTCTTAGGTTTAATTAAAATTTTTTTTGATTACCAGTGGAATCTCTTAATACAGGAAAAAGTAGTCACATTAATATTCTTTGTTATCTGCACTTATCCTCTTTTGAGCTCCTGAGGGTTTTTTTTTTTTTTTTAAGATTTATTATTTAAAGATTTTTGTTTAAAGTTTTTTTTTAAAGATTTATTTTTTTGAAAGGGAGAGTTACAGAGAGGGAGAGGCAGAAAAGAGCTTCCACCTGCTGGTTCACTCCTCAAATGGCTACAACAGCTGGGATTGGGCCATGATGAAACCAGGAGCCAAGGGCTTCATCCAGGTCTCTCAAGCATTTGGAATGTCTGCTGTTTTCCTAGGTGCATTATCAAGGAGCTGGATCAGAAGTGGAGCAGTCAGGTTGCCAATAGGTGCCAATATGGGATGCCAGCATTGCAGGAGGCAGCTTAATCATCTGCACCACAACGCTGGCCTGCTCCTGAGTCTTTTAATTGTTCTCTGATGCTTTATTTTAATTATAAGTTTGGGAAATTGAAGGTATAAAACTTTGGGTGGCAAGAGATACACGATTGATGGTACATAAAAGATTTTTACTGCTAGAAGACATAAAGAATTGAGGTGATAGGATGTGGAAGTAATCTTATTGCTCAGAATTTTTCATTACTAAAGGTATTTGTAATTAAATGTTTCATCAGTGATCACATCTTATGGATAGACTATAGTTAGAGAGGGTACCAGTTTTTGTAGTTCAATTGTTTTTGTGTGTGTTGGCATCATCTTACATTGCAAATAGTGTAATTATTTGGGAAATTCAAATATGGATGTGGTCAGTGTAACTATTCAATTAAAAACCATGGAAAGTATGTAGTTTTTAGAGTGTGTTGCTTATTAGCTCATTGATTTGCTGTTGTTATTCATAGGCACCAAATAGGAGTCTTCTATAAATCTCATTGCTGGTTTTAATCAGAATGCACTGATGTAAGCTACACCATCCTTATAGCCAAAATCCAGTGATTGGTAATGCCTTTGCTGTGTGCATTGTGGGCACAATCTTTCTTTGCAATCATTTTTGAGAGGGTTCCATATTTCTAGTGCTGGTGATGCTGTTCACTGTCTTTAACCTCTACTTTTCTTCTTTATTGCATTTCAAAGATGGGGCAATATATTACATACATGCCAGCTGAACACCTTTGAGTTAGAAATGTATTTCCAGTCTCATCGCTTTATCTTTTTATAACTTTTATCTGTCCTTTCTTTGCTAATTGTATATTGTAACAATAGCAGCAAATAAAAATGAAAAATGATTGGCTAAAATTTCTAATAAATTACTAGTATTACTAGTAGGTGTTTTTTCTCAAGTTCTTTTCTAGGCTTTATATGCTAATCATGTAAATTTAGTTTTAACCAAAGTATAGATACAGTCATTCTAACATAAAAAGTTTTCTAAACATTAGCTTCGTATAAGCAGTTTTGTGTGTATGTATATGTTTAATCAACATGTTAAAACTTTTTTTTCTTTTTTTTTTTGGACAGGCAGAGTGGACAGTGAGAGAGAGACAGAGAGAAAGGTCTTCCTTTGCCATTGGTTCACCCTCCAATGGCCGCCATGGCCAGCGCGCTGTGGCCGTTGCACCGCGCTGATCCGATGGCAGGAGCCAGGTACTTATCCTGGTCTCCCATGGGGTGCAGGGCCCAAGTACTTGGGCCATCCTCCACTGCATTCCCTGGCCATAGCAGAGAGCTGGCCTGGAAGAGGGGCAACCGGGACAGAATCCGGCGCCCCGACCAGGACTAGAACCTAGTGTGCCTGCGCCGCAAGGCGGAGGATTAGCCTAGAGAGCCCTGGCACCGGCCTAACATGTTAAAACTTTTCACTTGCAGTGTCTTTGCAAAATTGCATTTATTTTTATAGATTTTATTTTTGTGTTTAGGTTTTACGTAATTTTTTTACTACTATGAAAAGTATGTCACTTGTTTCTTTTGGAAGTACCCTCACCTTAGGGTAACTTCCTACAAAAGGATCAATACCTTTTATTTTATTTTTATTTATTTATTTTTTAAGATTTATTTATTTGAAAGGGAGAGTTACAGAGAGGCAAAGAGAGAGAGGGGTCTTCCATTGTTGTTTCACTCTTCAAATGGCTGTAATGGCTGGAGCTGGGCCAATCTGAAGCCAGGAGCCTAGAGCTTCTTCTGGGTGTCTCATGTCGGTGCAGGAGTCCAAGCACTTGGGACAGCTTCTACTGCTTTCCCAGGCCATAGTAGAGAACTGGATCGGAAGTGGAGTAGCTGGGACTTGAACTGGTGCTCATAAGGGATGCTGGCACTGCAGGTGGCAGCATTACCTGCTACGCCAAAGTGCCAGCCCCAACCTTTATGTTTCAGGTTAGGATTTCATGGGCTTCAGTGTTGGCATGGCAATTGGATATAGAGTTAAGACAGCCAGGGCTGCTTTAAAATTGTCTTGTGTTGTTATGTTAGTAGGGTTTAATGGCATATTGCCCATTTAGAATTGGGGGGTGGGGAGGGTATAAAATATACTTCCATTATTGTCTATTACAAAGTTTCACAAGAATTATTTAAATAGACACATTTGTTGTCACCTGTGGAAGCTTATCTTCAAGGGATGTTTACTCATTGATTTGGTCAGTCTTTCAAATACTTAATACATGCATTGTTCTCTCAAGCATTACATTAGCTCCTGGCAATAAGCTTTGTCCTCACCATCTAGTGGTAGTACCTTAGTACATTAATTCAGAGAACGCTGGCTGTGTTTTGAAGGGCTTTGTGGTAATTTCAATGTAAAATTTTTGCTAAAATTAAGATAAAATATCTCTAAATGAGTGATCCTTTGCTTTTGATATCTGGGTTATCTCCTGTTAATGCTGAATTAAAGTGTCAGTGATTGCAATGATTTTGAATTATGTTTGGCATATAGATAAGGATTCCAAGAGTATGTGGTTTTTAAAAGTTTTAAAAATTATATTTGCTATTATGTAAAATATTTGCACAGCTGTTAATTTTGTTCCTGTGGCTATGCAAAGAAAGCAAAGCACCAAGATACTTGCTGTTGAAGGTGGACTCGGCACACCGGGTTCTAGTCCCGGTTGGGGCGCCGGATTCTGTCCCGGTTGCCCCTCTTCCAGGCCAGCTCTCTGCTATGGCCCGGGAGTGCAGGGGAGGATGGCCCAAATGCTTGGGCCCTGCACCCCATGGGAGACCAGGAGAAGCACCTGGCTCCTGCCTTCAGATCAGCACGGTGCACCGGCTGCAGTGCGCCGGCCGCAGCGGCCATTGGAGGGTGAACCAACGGCAAAGGAAGACCTTTCTCTCTGTATCTCTCTCTCACTGTCCACTCTGCCTGTCAAAAAAAAAAAAAAAAAAGAAAAAGAAAAAGAAAAAGAAAGCAAAGCACCAAGATACTTGCTATTGAAAGTGGACTCTTCATAATCCTGTCATTCATATTGCTAGAGTAGAAAAGATTTTGGCCTTTGAGTTTCATAGATCTTTCAAGATCTAAGAAGTTGCTTTCAGCTTATTCTTTTAAGGTTTTTAAAATTAATAACATAATTAGTGTGAAAAGATGGATGAGGTTTTAATGTTTATCCAAAGGGGCAGGGAATTTTAAAATATTAAGGAATATGATATACAGAATGCAGTAAACTAAAATTCTGAAGAACTGTATGATTTTATTGTGTATGTAATATACTTACTTTAGAGAAAAATTTAGCATAGAATAAACTGATGTTGGACATGAAATATCAAAAGAATCTTAAAGGCTTTGCTACAGTGAAATTGTATGGACTATGAAGACATTATAATAATGTGAATCTAGTTAATTCAATTTGTTTTTAACATGTACTCAAGTTTTTGAGTGTACACCAAGCTATTTAACCCTTTTAAAAAATACTATAGAGTTAAAAAATATAGCAGGTAAGTAAAACATTCATAATTGGGAGGCTGATACACAAATTGAGCTGAGGTGCTGCTCTGATTGTCACGATGCCTCCCTAGAATAAACTGCCTTTTGATGACCGGAACGAATTGAGAGAAATCGTAACGGACAGATACGGGGCAGACAGTTTGTTTAGAATATTTAGGTGCATTAGGTGAATGGAGTTCTTTCTTGTTTACAACTTGGATTTGTCTTCTATTTTCCTTTTAGCCCTGCCTCTTCTTTTCTGTTGCAGCCAGCTTCATCATTAGACAAAAACAATGTTTCTCTACTTGAAAAGGTACATTTCAATATATTTTTCAATTAATGCTGACTGTACCAAATTATGATAAAGTATTTTAATTGCTTTTACAGATTAATTACATATAATTCTGTTTTAACATTTCCTAGTATTTGCATGTTATCATTTCTATTTACACTGTTGCTAAGTGGGAATAGCAGGTTTGTTTAATTTTGTCAATGAAGATGTAATTTCACGATAATATTAACAGCCTTTTATAGATTCATGATAACTCAGCAGATTCTAATGAAGAAAGCCTCTAGATGAGGCTTGATTAGTAAGGTTTTAACATTACATGTCTGTCTTCTTTAGGACACAAAGATGAGAACTCCCAAAGAGAAAAATGAAATAATTTCTAAGAAAACATCAGAGTTCGAAGTGGAAGATTCTCTGTTACCAAATATTGCAAAAGATACAGAGAGTAGTGCATTTGGAGTGTCTGTGCCTGCCAACAGTGATCCATTCCAAAAAGAGCAAGATCATCTGGTAGAAGAGGTTAGAGAATGTCTTTAATATGTATACTTAAATATTTAATTTTCTGATACTGTGATCAGAAATAAAATAGAATTACTTGTTGATTAACTTGGGTAATTTGAGGGAAAGAAGTTTACAGATATTAAAAATCTGGATTAAAGCAAAATTGGTCCTCCTGAAAAGTAGAAATTAAGTTTATATAAATGGCCAGTGCTGTGGCTCAATAGGCTAATCCTCCGCCTGCAGCGCCGACACCCTGGGTTCTAGTCCTGGTCAGGGTGCTGGATTCTGTCCCGGTCGCTCCTCTTGCTGTCCAGCTCTCAGCTATGGCCCGGGAGTGCAGTGGAGGATGGCCCAAGTCCTTGGGCCCTGCACCTGCATGGGAGACCAGGAGAAGCACCTGGCTCCTGGCTTCGGATCAGTGCAGTGTGCTGGCCGCAGAGGCCATTGGAGGGTGAACCAACGGAAAAGGAAGACCTTTCTCTCTGTCTCTCTCTCACTGTCCACTCTGCCTGTCAAAAAAAAAAAAGTTTATATAAACTTCTTTAGTTAAGATCACATCCATGGTTTAGAACCCACTGACCTTTCTACTATAAATTCACCAAAAGCTGTATATTCTACACGTATAATACATGAATAATACTTTGGGGATTAACAATTACATAAATTACTTGAAAAATGCAACCAATATACTTTGTTAATATTATCTGTTGCTTAGCTGAGCTTCCTTTTTTGAATATTTGAATAAAAATATGCGATATATTATCACTGAATGAAGGTTTTGTTGCTTTTGCTTCCTAAATATTTCAAATATGGCTGAATGCATTGTTGTTTATGAACTTGATTTTCCTAATCAATCTTGTCATTTCACACTATTCTGCTTTTCACTAGTGACTACATAATACTATATAGCTCAGTACTTAACAGACTCAGTTTATGAAATTAAATATACCATTCATTGTTATTTTTATAGTGTTTTGCATAACATCCCTTATCGTTGTTTGAATTTGATTAAGCAGCCAGAAAATAAGTCAGTTACTCTTTATTTTTGAAAGACTGAAAGAAACATTTGGTTTCATATGTATTGGTGTTGGAGTTCTCTCCTTTGTCCCAGACCTGGTTCAAGTAAAGGAACATTGTCCGTATAAGAGAACTGGATGTCAGTGATTTTCCTTGATTGTCACGAGAAGACTTGTTTCATAGCCCCTAAATACTTTTAAATCTTTAAAGTTCTGTTGATTCTCCTTATTGATTCTACATTGAAGAAAAGATGGATAGCCTTTTTTGTTTGATAATTATGGAAGAAAAGGTGCCTTTTCTGGTTGAAAAGATTTAGATTAGCAGTAGGATAGGATGAAATAGGAGAGTCCTACAGTCCCATAAAGCTCTGAAAGTAAAGTAAAATTAATGTTCTTTGATAGTATTTATAGCAAGAGATATTATTTGAATTCCACGCAGTTATGTTTTTTGTTGGTAGAGAAGCCTTCTCTGTTCTTGGGCTAGTTTGATTATAGTCTCAAGAAAGGGCTATTTTCATATTTTATACATTTTTAAGGTTTATTTATTTATTTGAAAGACAGAGTTACAGAGGCAGAGGCAGAGAAAGAGAGGTCTTCCATCTGTTGTTTTACTCCCCAAGTGGCCCCAATGACCGGAGCCAGTCTGAAGCCAGGAGCCAGGAGCTTCTTCTGGATCTCCCATGCGGTTGCAGCGGCCCAAGGACTCGGACCATCTTCCACTGCTTTCCCAGGACATAACAGAGAGCTGGCTGGAAAGTGGAGCAGCTGGGATTCAAACCAGCGCCCATATGGGATGCTGGCACTGCAGGCAATGGCTTTTACCTGCTAACACCACAGCGCCAACCCCCAGACAGCAGCTTTACCTGCTACACCACAATACTGGCCCCTACACTTTCTTTTCTGTATTTTAGTATGTATCCTTATGCCTTGTACAGTAATTTAGATCTGATAATGAAGTTTCTTACAAAGAAACAAGTTGTCAGTGTATTCTGTTTGTTAATAGAGGTATTATTGTGAAAGTAGGAGAAAAGTATGTATGCTTTAAAAGTAGTCATTTTAGTATATACAGAGTTGTCAAGCTCAAAGATGTGACAGAGGGTCCAGCATTGTAGTGTAGTGGGTTAAGCCACCACCTGCAACACTGGCATCCTATGTGGGTGCCACTTTTGAGTCCCGGCTGCTCTACTTCCAATCCAGCTCCCTGCTAATGTGCTTGGGAAGGCAGCAGAGGATGCCCCAAGTGCTTGGACCCCTGATCCCACATGTGAGATCTGGATGGAGCTTCCGCCTCTTAACTTTGGCCTTGTTCAGCTCCAGCCATTGTGGCCATTTGGGGAGTGAACTAGCAGGTGGAAAATTCTCTCTCTTTGTCTCTCCCTCTCTTTCTGTAACTCTGTCTTTCAAATAAATAAACTAAAAGTTAAAAAAAAAAAAAGATGTGTTAGGTAACAGCTTAGGACATTATGCAGTCAAAACTGCTCCTAAATCTTTCCTTGTATAAAAATTCTTATCTAAGGGCTGGTGTTATTGTACAGTGGGTTAAGCCACTACCTACGACACTGTCATCTCATATAGGAGCGCTGGTTCAAGTCCTGGCTGTTCCACTTCTGATCCACCTCCTTGCTATTGTGCTTTGGAGAAGAGCAGGTGGTGGCAAGTACCTTGACTCACTCCACACATGTGGGAGACCGAAATGTCATTCCAGGCTCTTAGCTTCAGCCTGGTCCATCCCTGTTTGTTGCTGCCATTTGGGGAGTGAACCAGCACATGGAAGATTGATCTCTTTCTCTCCCTCCCTACTTTCCTCCCTCTCTTCTCTCTGTCACTCTGCCTTTCAAATAAATAAATTTTTTTGTAAGATTTATTTATTTATTTGAAAGAGAGTTACACTGAGAGAGGAGAGGCAGAGAGAGAGAGAGAGAGAGAGACGTCTTCCATCCGATGGTTCACTCCTCAAATAGCCGCAACAGCCGGAGCTGCACCGATCGGAAGCCAGGAGCCAGGTCTCCCACGTGAGTGCAGGGGCCCAAGGACTTGGGCCATCTTCTACTGCTTTCCCAAGCCATAGCAGGGAGCTGGACAGGAAGTAGAGCAGCCGGGTCTTGAACCAGCAACCATATGGGATGCCAGTGCTTCAGGCCAGGGCATTAACCCACTGCGCCACAGCGCCAGCCCCAATAAATAAATCTTAAAAAAAAAATCTTACCTGTTTTCTTCTTTATAATGGGCTATCTACTTTAGATAAGAAAAAATCACTTTACAGGATTGTACCTACATTATCTGTATCTGGGAACTTCATTGTTGCTCTTTTTTTGTGCCATATGTTAAAAGTTGCTGACTGTGAAGTGTTCACTCTTAAGGTTTTTGCTGCATTCTACCAATGGGCGTGGTCATTTTTGTTTTTCCTTTCTGTTTTAGGTTGCAAAAGCAGTTTTATCTGATTCACCACAGCTCTCTGAAGGAAAAGAAGTAAAATTAGAGGAACTGATTGACTCTCTAGTTTCTAACCCCTTCTTAACAAGGAACCAAATTCCCCGAACTCCAGAAAACTTAAGTAAGTTAGTGATGCTTTTTTTTTTCTTTCTTTCTTAGACATGAACACTGTTAGAATCATGGCCTGATAGATTTATCGGGACATTGAAAGCTCTTTTCTGTATCTTGGCTCTTTATTTGTTCTGTGGTAAGGAACTTTTACTGAATTATTAAGTGTGTGCACTCTCGTTTACACAGCAGTCTTTCAGCAGTATTATTTTGTGGCTTTAGTAGACTTAGTATACAGAGGTAAAATTAGCCCTGATAATAAACATTCTTAAAATTTTAGCAGGAGAGAGAAAGAAAGGGAAAGAGAGAGAGTTAAATAGAGAGCTTCCATTTGCTGGTTCACTTCTCATATCTACAACAGCTGGGGCTGAAGCTGGAATGTGAGAACCCTATTACTTGAGCTATCACGCCTGCCTTCCAGGATGTGCATTGGTGGAAAATTGGAGTCAGGAGTTCGAGTCAGGAATTGAACCTAGGAATTCCCATATGGGATGCAACTGTCTTAATGACTAGGCTAAATACTAACTCTGATAGTACACAATTTTGTTGTTTTTTTTCTGGAAAGTATTTTATTTGACTATTTAAAAAAAAATCTGGCCTCTAGAACTGTCCTGTGATCTACATTTAGACCCTTAAAGGCTGTGTTTTCCCAATCAGTAACCAGAAGCATCAACCAAAGACTAGTGTGCATAGATCTTTACCCCTGGAAAACTAGTGAGACTGCTGAACACTTTTTTTCCTGTTAATTAAAATTTGTATAGTCAGAGTTCTAATATTAGTGTCCCTATGTAGGCAGATCATCTTGATCAAATGATTAAATATATTTTTATTTTATTTTATTTTTTTAAAAGATTTATTTATTTATTTGAAAGTCAGAATTACACGGAGAGAGGAGAGGCAGAGAGAGAGAGCGGTCTTCCATCCGATGGTTCACTCCCTAGATGGCCACAACAGCTACAGCTGCGCCGATCCGAAGCCAGGAGCCAGGAGCTTCTTCTTGGTCTCCCACGTGGGTGCAGGGGCCCAAGGACTTGGGCCATCCTTTACTGCTCTCCCAGGCCATAGCAGAGAGCTGGATCGGAAGAGGAGCAGCTGGGACTAGAACTGGCACCCATATGGGATGCCAGCGCTTCAGGCCAGGGCGTTAACCCACTGCGTCACAGCACCGGCCCCAGGGTTCTTTGCTTTTAAAAGTGTTTTGAACTTTATGGCACTTAAGTTGAGATATAAAGTGTATATTTAAAATTTTTATCTTCATTTTATTTTCGATGACCTTTTAAAAATTATTTATTCATATATATTTGAAAGGCAGAGAGAGGGGCCGGTGCCACGGCTCAATAGGCTAATCCTCCACCTGTGGCGCCGGCACTCCGGGTTCTAGTCCCGGTTGGGGCACCGGATTCTGTCCCGGTTGCCCCTCTTCCAGGCCAGCTCTCTGCTGTGGCCCGGGAGTGCAGTGGAGGATGGCCCAAGTGCTTGGGCCCTGCACCCCATGGGAGACCAGGATAAGTACCTGGCTCCTGCCATAGGATCAGCGCGGTGCGCGGGCCGCAGCGCGCCGGCCGCAGCGGCCATTGGAGGGTGAACCAACGGCAAAAAGGAAGACTTTTCTCTCTCTGTCTCTCTCTCTCACTGTCCACTCTGCCTGTCAAAAAAAAAAAAAAAAAAAAAAAAAAAAAAAAGAGAGAGAGAGAGAGAAAGAGCTCTTCCACCCACTGGTTCACTCCCCAAATGCCTGAAACAGTAATGGTTGAAGTAAGGAGCCCAAAATCAGTCTGGGACCCAAATACTTGAGCTATCATCTGCTGCCTTTCAGATGCACATTAGCAGGAAGCTGGCTCAGCAGCAGAGGTAGAACTTGAGCCTAGGCACTCCTATGTGGGATGTGGGTGCTCCAAGTGGAGACTTAAATGCTGTGCCAAATGCTCACCCTCCATGAACTTTTTTTTTCCTTGATAGGCAGAGTTAGACAGTGAGAGAGACAGAGAGAAAGGTCTTCCTTCTGTTGGTTCACCCCCTAAATGGCCACTATGGCCGGCGTGCTGCGCCGATCCGAAGCCAGGAGCCAGGTGCTTCCTCCTGGTTTCCTATGCGGGTGCAGGGCCCAAGCACTTGGGCCATCCTCCACTGCCTTCCCAGGCCACAGCAGAGAGCTGGCCTGGAAGGGGAGCAACCAGGACAGAATCCGGCGCCCCAACCGGGACTAGAACCCAGAGTGCCGGCGCCGTAGGTGGAGGATTAGCCTAGTGCACCGCAAGCGCCGGCACTCCATGAGCTTTTTCAAGTACCCTCATTCCTCTGATTACTATCTGGTCCATTATGTTAAAAGGTTGCCAAGTCCTGGCCTAGATCAACAACAAAATGAATTATATGTGGAACTCAGGTGTGCTATGTAAAAGTCTGTGTGTATTTTAGGAACACTTTTGTTATATGTGTTTGCCTGTGTATGTTCATTTGGAGATAGTTTTTTGATATTGTTGAGGTTTGTTATTTAGTGGAGGCTTGTCAAAACCACTGTATTTTTTGAAACACAAACTAAGTCAATAGCGTTACCTTCAGTACTAGAAATGTTTTAATTGCACGCTGTATGTTTGAGATTAGTAAATTTTGTTTTTATTTTAAGTAAATTTTCTTTTTTCTCCTCCTTCAATTAGTAACTGAAATTAAGACCTCATGGAGAAAAGCTATTGAAGTGGAAGATAACGGAAATGTAGAACCAATTCTAATGGATACTGAACATAAAGAAGTATTGTCAGAATCTTCACCTGTGTTACATGATCAAAGAGAATTTAGCATGGCCTGTTTCCTCTCACCAACCACTGTGTCAGATTTTGGTCCATCTCATTTGTCAGGAGAGAAAGTTGTTTCAGATTGCCTTAGTGGTACACCCCAGAAGCATCTGGAGACCCATCCCATAGGTGAATCACCAGCACAAAATCAGTCAGATTTGTTAAATAGGAAAATAACTTGCAAACAAGAAGTGGGATGTGTAGCTTTACCCACCAAACTTTCAGAAAGTAGCCAAATAGAGACATTTTCCCCTGCTGTAGGTGGTAGGACAGATGTGATGGGTAGCAGGGGAGAAGACTATGTTAAAATATTGGACCACTCACAAACTTCTTATGATGAACCTTCCATGCATAAAACCATGTTATGGAACTCTTTTCAAATATCAAGTGGTATTAGTTCCAAGAGTTTAAAGGATATGGATTTTGGGATATTACATGAAACTCTTCCTGAAGAAGTTGGTCACTTAAGTCTTAATAGTTCCTGTAGTTCAGAGACTAGTTTTAAAGTGGAACCTCAGAGTCCTGCACACAGTGGCATTTTTCCAGCAGATACTCTGGGAGAAAGACGGACTACTCCAGAATCAGACTTCAGTTTACAGGCTATTTGCAGTAGTTTTGAGGCTCGGAAGAAATCTCTTTCCAAGAAAAGAGAAGAATTGTACCTCTCTACTCCTGAAATACTTGAAAGACACAAACCAGAATTGAGCCCTACTCAGCAAAACATGCAAGCAGATGATTTGCTTAGCTTTCTGGGCACTCATGATTTGCACAGTGACTATTCAAAACCATCTTTACGTGTGTCCCTTGGTGAAAGAAAACGGTCTCTTTCACCACTAATTAAGTTTTCTCCAGTGCAGCAAAGATTGAAGAGCACAATACCATGTGGTCTTGGAGAATTTCTGCCAAATTTAAAAGGTAAGATTTTGCTAGATCTGTGCCTATGCACTTGTGGGAAGTTTTCCTTGGCATACAAATTATATGTAATGAATGTTGCATGACAAAATGCGCTTCTGATTCTTTCACCTTCTAGGATGAAAAGAGTGAATTCTCAAAAAAAAAAAAAAAAAGAGTGAATTCTCATCTTATGCATATATTTGGGAACTCTGTTGATACATTAATTTACAATTGACTTTGGGCCATGGGTGGGAAAAATCCCCCAAAACCTGAATCTTACTGCTTAAAGTATATCAGAAATCTTCTAGTAGGGTGGAAGATGGTTTTCAAAATGTTTAGAAATACTGTTTTACTGTTGTAATGGTATAATACCTGTGATTTGCTTTGAAGGAAATTTGGTAGTGGGCAGATGAGAACAAAACAAAACGAGATTGGTCTGTGTATGAATTTCCGAGGGTTTCTGTAACAAAGTACCACAAACTGAATGGCTTAACAGCAATTTATTGTCTCTGGAGACATTAAATTATAGAGGCTGAGTCTCAAATCAGGGTCTTGGCAAGGCCATGTTCCTTCTGAAACTGCCAGCACACGCTTCTTTTGTTGCCTCTTCCAACCTTTGGTAGCCTCAGGCTTTCCTTCACTTGTGACAGTGTAGCTCTTATCTCTGCCTCCATCATCAAATGGTGTTCTTCCCTTGTGTCTCTTAAAAGGAATTAGCCGGCCGGCGCCGCAGCTCACTAGGCTAATCCTCCGCCTAGCGGCGCCGGCACACCGGGTTCTAGTCCCGGTCGGGGCGCCGGATTCTGTCCCTGTTGCACCTCTTCCAGGCCAGCCCTCTGCTGTGGCCAGGGAGTGCAGTGGAGGATGGCCCAAGTGCTTGGGCCCTGCACCCCATGGGAGACCAGGAAAAGCACCTGGCTCCTGGCTCCTGCCATCGGATCAGCATGGTGCGCCGGCCGCAGCGCTCCGGCCGCGGCGGCCATTGGAGGGTGAACCAACGGCAAAGGAAGACCTTTCTCTCTGTCTCTCTCTCTCACTGTCTACTCTGCCTGTCAAAAAAAAAAAAAAAAAAAAAAAAAAAAAAGGAATTAGCCATATTAGTGTTGTATCTGAAATGACTCTCTTTCCAAATAAATTTACACTCTGGGATTAGTATTTCAATATACCTTACTGGGGGACACAATTCAACCAATAACAGTTAGTGTTAATAAATGAAGCAAGGTGGTAGTTACCTTAGAGTAATCATAATTCTTTTGACTTAGTATGCTTGATAATTTCTATCATAGATAGTTAAAAACTAGCTCTTAACAGTATGTTAGGACAGATATGGGTCTGATAATACAGGTTCATTATATATCTATGATTTGCCCATGATAATTAAAAAACTGGTATGTTGAAAAGTTTTCTAGGAACAATGTACTGATCTCTAAAGAAAAGATACTTCAGTGAGAATTCTAGTAACTTTGTAGTTGAGAATGAATATTTTACTAGATTGAAATTTGCTACTACTTGGAATCTGTCCTACTTATTTTTCTTTATAATGTTTTCTTATCCCTTTTTTAAAAAATCACTTTTGCAGAAGAAGAGATCTTGGGAAAGAGCCTTGATGCAGAAGAACCTCCATCTGACTTGACAACTTGAAGCAGTTCCCAATTAATATAACATGATGCACTTAAAGGGAAACTTTGTTATGGAACAGAAACTGATTTATAACTTAAATACACATTGGAAGTGTAACAGTCTTTTTCAAGATCTAGAAATTGTAAATGCTTTTTAGCCGTCTGTAATGTTTTTAGGGAAAGAAAGTGTATTTGGATTTTGTCTTTGTAGGGAGATGGGGTTGAGATGTGAAACAGAAGGAAAGCAAATGTCAAAGTTGTGGGAAACCATTTTGACTTGAATAATCTTGAAAGTATTAAGTAAGTGACAAAAGTAGTAGTTTAAATTATGGAATTATAGTTTCAGTTAATTGAAATAAGGATGACTAGTTTTGGTATACTTTATTAAGTGGTTAATATAATAGCCATTGAATATACTGATCTTTCATTTTTAGAGAAACCACTTTTATTAGATCTTTATGAAACATTCTTGTCCTAACCCAAAAAAAGTGAGAAAAGTGGTATCTTGGGATATGTTGGCAAGATGACAGATTTTAAAATTGGGAAAGCTCTAAACAGGATTAATGATTATTCAAGTAGATTGATCCTGAGAAATGGTGTTTGATGGAATAAAGTGCACGTGAAGATAAATGAAGATGGGGGCAGGATGAATTTGTAAAAAAGGTGGAAGCAGGTGACTAGACACCTAAGGAACGTTATCAACTTATAAATCCATTCAGTGGGTTGTCCATTAGATTTGTATTTAGTCTAATTTAGACATTGAGAGTTTAATTTAATCCTAGTTTTATATTTTAACAAAAATATAAATTAAAAATTAATGAGCCTGTTTTGTTGTTGTTGTTATTCTTTTGCAAGGTGGGGATGCTGTTTTCAGGAACTTAGCTAGTTTCTATTGTTTACTGCTCAAAGCCATTAACATTTTCTGCTACCTGTGCAGGGTTGGGGAATGTCTGGCCTGCAGGCCATAGAGGGCTTGCAAAATAATTTGGTCTAGTCCTGCCAAGGCAACTGCAGGCAAGACTTGAAGTTAACTAAATTTATAGCAGGCTAATTTTTAAGTTGATAATGGCCCCTGGCAGAGAAAAAGTTCCCCACCTCTGCCTTATAGAATAGCCCCCGAATAACTTGAGAGAACTGAATGTGGGGTAAAATAACTTGTAATGCATGTATAGTCCGGCCTAACTGCATGATGCCCTGTAGCCCAGAAGTCTTGTCTGTATCTAAGTGGACACATGCCATTGCCTTCTGTAAACCAAGTGGAATGAAATAGGCACTGCCAGGGTGATGGCACATATAGTACCTTCTGTAGAGCCCTAGATCGTAAACATGAAATAAAACTAGTAATGAGAGAATAGCTGGGAGTTCCAGAAGGAGACTGGCCTAATAGTTCATCTCTCTTCACTTATCTCAGATTGACTTTCTTTAAGTTGTTTGTTGTGTTCCAGTTTGAAGACCAGTCTTAATGTAAGAAGAGAGAGAAGAAAGCACTTCAACTATCCTTTTCGCTATGGAGAAGAAAGAGGAAGAGAAAATCTGAAGTGTTACATTCCTTTATTAATATAACAAATTAGAGACTCTGCCACTTTACCAAGAAACCATTCTCTAGTCTGCTTTATGCAAAATCATTATCCAAAATGAGTGTGTTAGGGAGGAGATACATATTAGCATCTGAAAAGTGTGGAGGCCATTGTTAGATACTTAATACATATTTCATTTAGCTGTTGTAACTTTAAGATTGCAGTTATACCTGTTTTAAAAATAATTTACTGAGCTAGCAAGCTTAAATGACTTTCTTTTTTTTTTTTTTTTTTGACAGGCAGAGTGGACAGTGAGAGAGAGAGAGACAGAGAGAAAGGTCTTCCTTTGCCGTTGGTTCACCCTCCAATGGCCGCCGCGGCCGGCGCGCTGCGGCTGGCACACCGCGCTGATCCGATGGCAGGAGCCAGGAGCCAGGTGCTTTTCCTGGTCTCCCATGCGGGTGCAGGGCCCAAGCACCTGGGCCATCCTCCACTGCACTCCCTGGCCACAGCAGAGGGCTGGCCTGGAAGAGGGGCAACCGGGACAGAATCCGGTGCCCCGACCGGGACTAGAACCCGGTGTGCCGGCGCCGCTAGGTGGAGGATTAGCCTAGTGAGCCGCGGCGCCGGCCATTAAATGACTTTCTAAGAGAGGTTGGGTGTTTCGGCACAGGGGGTTAAGCCATTGCTTGAGATGCCTGCATCCCATATTGGAGTGCTGGTTTGAGTCTCAGCTACTTGCTTCCTATCTAGTTTCTTGTGAAAGTGCCTGGGAAGGCAGAGATTATGGCCTAAACACTTGGCATTTTTCTTTTTTTAAGATTTATTTATTTATTCAAAAGGCAGAGTTACAGAGAGGCAGATAGAAAGAGACAGGTCTTCCATCTGCTGGTTCAGTCCCCAGTTGGCTGCAATGGCCAGAGATGGGCCAATCCAAAGCCAGGAGACTGGAGCTTCTTCCAGGTCTCCTACGCTGGTTTAGGGTCCCAAACACTTGGGCCATCTTCCACTGCTTTCCCAGGCCATAGCAGAGAGCTGGATTGGAAGTGGAGCAGCCAGGACTTGAACTGGTGCGCATATGGGATGCTGGCACTGCAGGCGGTGGCTTTACCTGCTACGCCACAGAGCCGGTCCCAAATACTTAGTTTCTTTTCTTTTTTTTGCCTCCTTCCCTCCCCTCCCTTCCTTCTCCTTCCCTTTCCCCCTTTTCCCCCTTTTCCCCCTTCCCCTCCTTCCCCTTCCCCTCTCCCCACCCCTCCCTTCCTCTCCTCTCCTCTCCCCTGCCCTGTTCTCCCCTTTCCTTTTCTTTCGATTTACTTATTTGAAAGGCAGAGCTACAGAGAGGCAGAGGTAGAGAGAGAGAGGTCTTCCATCTGCTGGTTCACTCCTCAAATGACTGCAGTGGCTGGAACTGCATTGATCAGGAGCTAGGAGCCTCCTCTGGGTCTCCCACATGGGTATAGGGGCCCAAGCACTTGGGCCATCTGCTTTCCCAGGCTATAGCAGAGAGCTGGACCGGAAGTGGAGCAGCTGGGACTCAAACCGGTGCCCATATGGGATGCTGGCACTGCAGGTGACGGCTTTACCTGCTATGCCACAGTGCTGGCCCCAAAAACTTGGTTTCTTACCACTCATGTAGGAGAAGTGGATGTTGGAGTTCTAGGTTACTGGAGTCAGCCTGGACCAGGCCTGGCTGTTTTAAGTATTTGGGGAGTGAACCAGTAGATGGAAGATCCCTCTCTCTGTCACTCTGCCTTTCAAATAAATATTTTTAATTAATTTATTTCTTTGAAAGAGAAAGAGAGATAATCTTCCATCCGCTGGTTTGCTCCCCAAATAGCTGCAATGGCTGGGATTGTGCCAGGCTGAAGCTAGGAGCCAAGAGCCTCTTCTGGGTCTCCCATTGGGCCATCTGCTGCTTTCCCAGACTCATTAGCATGGAGCTAGATTGGAAGTGGAGCAGCTGGTGCTCATATGGGATGCTGGTACTGCAACGGGGGTTTAACTTTATATGCCGCAGTGCCAGCTCCATAAATAATTTTTTTTTTTTTTTGACAGGCAGAGTGGACAGTGAGAGAGAGAGACAGAGAGAAAGGTCTTCCTTTGCCGTTGGTTCACCCTCCAATGGCCGCCGCGGCCGGCACACCGCGCTGATCCAATGGCAGGAGCCAGGTACTTATCCTGGTCTCCCATGGGGTGCAGGGCCCAAGCACTTGGGCCATCCTCCACTGCACTTCCAGGCCACAGCAGAGAGCTGGCCTGGAAGAGGGGCAACTGGGACAGAATCCGGCGCCCCGACCGGGACTAGAACCCGGTGTGTGGCGCCACTAGGCGGAGGATTAGCGTATTGAGCTTCGGCGCCGGCCTTCCATAAATAAATCTTTAAAAAAATGGCTGTGTAAGATGATGGTCTAAAGGTCCAGCTGTTAGGGTCATCTGAGTTGTATTTTTTTAAAACGATTTATTTATTTGAAAGAGAGAAGGAGAGACTGAGAGCGAGTGAGCTTCCATCTGCTGGTTCATTCCCTAAATGGCCATAATAACCAAGGCTGGGCCAGGCTGAAACTAGGAGCTGCTTCCAGGTTTCCCACGTGGGTGGATGGGCCCAAGGACTTGGGCCATCCTCTGCTGCTTTCTCAGGCACATTAACAGGGAGCTGGATCAAAAGTGGAGCCAATATTGGATGTTGGTGCTGCAGGCAGAGGCTTTAACCCACTTAGTCACAGCACTGGCCCCTGAGTTGTATCTTTAAAAATACTGATCTAGGGGCTGGTGTTGTGGCTCAATGGGTTAAGCCACAGCCTGTGGCTGTTCCCATCCCATATGGGATGTTTGGGGCTGTGGTACTTATGTAGTTTATCTGGATGAAGTTCCTGGCTCCTGGCTTCTGCCTGGTCTAGCCAGAGCCATTTGGGCTGTTTGGGGTGTGAACCAGCAGATGGAAGACCTCTGTCTCTCCCTCTGTAATTATGCCTTTCAAATAAGAAGTAAATCTTTAACAAAAAATGCATATCTAAAATAAGGCTAGGGAATCTGCATTTTATTATTTATTTTTTTAAAGATTTATTTATTTGAAAGAGTTACACAGAGAGAGGAGAGGCAGAGAGAGAGACAGACAGACAGAAAGGTCTTCCATCTGATGGTTCACTCCCTAGATGGCCGCAGTGGCCGGAGCTGTGCCAATCTGACGCTAGAACCAGGAGCTTCTGGGTCTCCCATGGGGGTGCAGGGGCCCAAGGACTTGGGCCATCTTCTGCTGCTATCCCAGGCCACAGCAGGGAGCTGGATCTGAAAAGGAGCAGCCAGGACTGGAACTGGCGCCCATATGGGTTGCTGGCACTTCAGGCCAGGGTGTTAACCTGCTGCGCAACAGCGCCGGCCCTGGGAATCTGCATTTTAAATATGCTTCTCTAGTAATTCTTACAATCAGTCAAAACTTTGAGAACTGTGAGATGAAGATTCTTGCTTAGCTCTAAGTTACCTATAAGAGGCAGGTACACTAATGCATCTATTTGTATACTTTTTTTTTTTTTTTAAGTTGATTTATTTATTTGAAAGGGAGAGTTAGAGAGAGGCAGAGGCAGAGAGAGAGAGGTCTTCCATCTACTGGTTCACTCCCCAAATGGCCACAACAGCTGGAGCTGAGCCAATCCGAAGCCAGGAGCCAGAAGCTTCTTCTGGGTCTCCCACATGAGTGTGGGGGCGCAAGCACTTGGGTCATCTTCCACTGCTTTTCAGGCCATAGCAAGAGAGCTGGATTAGAAGTGGAGCAGCCAGGACTCGAACTGATGCCCATATTGGGTACTGGCACTACAGGCGGTGGCTTTACTTGCTACGCCAAAGAGCCAGCCCCTGTATATTGCTTTATCATTAATTACCTGATAAGAAAGCTCAAGTTCGCCAATAAAGTAGGGGTAGTCCTTAATTGCTGAGAATCAAAAGATCAAATGGAGCCTGGTGTTTGGCCTAGTAGGTTCAATTCCTGGCTCTGACTTCTGACTCGAGCATCTGTCCAATGATAGGCTCAAGTAGTCGGGTCCCTGATACCCATGTGGTATATATACTAGGATTGAGTTCTTGGCTTCCTGGTCCAACCTTGGCCACTGGGCATTTGGGAAGTGAATCAGAGGATGGATACTGTCTCCGCTTCTCATTTAAAGGGAAAAAAAAAGCCTCTGGACATTGTGGATTTGCAGAAACACCTTGTTAAATAGTGAGTTATACTTTACCTCCAAGCTTTTAACATCTTTCCTTGTCCTTTGTGTGCCAGTACCAGAGGTGTTTCAAATAGATCCCTTACATAAAACCACTGTGAATGTAACTTTTCACCTTCAGCCTCTTTCCTACTCAGTATCATCTACAAAGTTGCCTTTTGACTAAGGAACTGCTTTGGGCTTGCTGCTTCCTTGCTTAAACTTCATTTCTGGCTCATTGATTGCTAATTCTAGAATAGGGTTCCAATTTAAAGGCATATAAGGTAAGGCTCCAAAATAGGTTTCCTCTGTTCCTCTTTCTGTTCTGATCTCCCATTTCTTACTGAAATGCTCAGTGAGCATGGGTCTTTACAAATACTGATTCAAAATTCTTCTGAAGCTGGAATACCTTACCCTCCATTTCTAGCTTATATTTATAGCTCTCTTAATGCTCAGAACAAATCTCAATTTCACCTTCAAATCTTAATCTGTCTATACCCATGTGCCTATTCCTTTTCAGAAATCTATGCTTTATCTTTACTGTTTTCACTCATTTAGTATTTTATTAATTGCTTTTATAATGTATTTTTTCATGGTTATATGTGATCTCTATTTACATACATTCCTGTGTAGACATATATATGGGGTGGATATATCTACACAGGGGTATACCCCAGGAGCCATGTGGCCACGTGTTTAGCAAACGTTTAAGATTGGAATTGTTCTGCCTCCAACATAATGGCAAAAATGTAACAGCAAAGAGGTCTAACTTATTGCTGTATTGGTTTTTTTCTCACATTCATATCAGATTACATAAAATGTGTTTTGTTCACTATTTGTAAAGTGTAAAAGTGTGTAAACATACTTGTACATCAAGTTGAAATCATACTCAAATGTCTATTTTAGTTGTTTAAGGAGGATAAGCATGTAATGTTGCTGAACATGAAAAATATTATCAAGTAGACCTTTAAAAAGTTGAAGTTGAACATTTAGGGAAATTTAACTGAACAAAAATGCTGGTATTTTGAAACTTTTTTTGTTTTTAAAAAATGTTTATTTTTTCAAAGAAATGGCAGTAGCCAATTGGAAACCTACTTATTCTTCAACTCCAATTTTGTTTTCTTTAAATTTAGAAGTGACTTAGTCATTACTATTTTAAACACCCCCCTCCCCCTTTTTCCCCTTTAAATGTTTACAATCTACTCATGCTGAATCTTTCCAAGGAGATTGCTTCAGCGTATTATCTCCAGGTCCTCACTTTGCTCCTTTTACCAAAAAGTGTAAAACACGATCCCATCATGCATCTTAGGGCTCCAGTTGTCAAAAATAGGAAAAAAAAATCTTTGGAATAGCCAATTAAGATGAATAGAAAAGTCCACACGAATACAGTTTGGTTGGGGCATGAATCCACTCCTATGTTCCTGGTAATCTGATCCCGCTCCATGAATCCTTGTAATTCATCCTCCCTATCCTATCCACAATATGATTTGAATCCAATGATCCAGCTCCAAGGATTGGGATCCAGTGAGCCCTCTCCAGTCCAAACCTTTATAACTAGCAAAACCAAAACAGAGGAGGGAAAATGTTAGATACTGTAATCAAAAAAGTTTTGAAACCTTTTGTTTACCATATTTCTTAACTATTAAGTCAATTTTATCTAAAAGAAAAACAGGAATTCTTGAGGTCTCTATAAAAGCAAACTAGTTACCCCCTACTGATTGTACTAAAATTAAAGAAAATATGGACATTTTCCTTAAAGTATTTGCTAAAGAGAATTTTTTTTGCCTTTAGATTATACAGTTGATGTAGGGATTACCTTTTTCATGCACTATGAATGACAAGACCATAACCTAAGCTTAAATTATGTCAGTGCTCTATGGCACCATTTATACATGTTATAGAAATCAATGTCTTGAATAAATGTTCAATGTCATACCATCTAGCTCTGGACTTTGCATATGATAAAAAGAACTGTGCCATACAAACCATAAAGTGATCACATAAGAATATTAATAACCTGGTCAATAAAGTAAGATTCAGTGATTCAAGTAAGAATATTTTGTTACTGTCATTTAGTTATTTTATTTACAACATGTACTTTTGAATGATTTTATAGGATGATATTGATACCATCAAGAGTTTTCTCATGTGGAGTCTGTTGCCACTGGTTCTATTTAGATGTACACCTCAACAGCTTCTGGCTCTTTATAGGTAGGGATCCTGTCACCCACATCTGCTTGCTGTAAGATAGCTATTGCCAGAACTGGAATAGGAGATTTTAGGTCTGTTCTGATTTCACTGTATCACATTTGCAAGTCCAAATTAGGAACCTCAGAAACCTCCCTCAAAAGTAACCTAAGAATCTTATTTGGTGTTTATCCAATTCCCAGGTAAATGCAAAGGGGGAAAGTTCCAGAGTGGGACATTTCCTTGAGAGAAGTCACTCATCTTTCTGGGCTTCAGCTTCCTCAGTATGTAAATTTGGAATCATGAGGGAATAATCTAAACTAAAAAAGCTAGGATTTTTCTGATCAGTTTTTCTGCCAATGGAGAGAATAGCGTGTAATGGTTAGAAGGGGGGGAGTCTAGTCAGATTGCCTGGATTTAGCTTTATCACCTAGTCATACCAGTGCTGCCATCTATTAAAATAGAGTTAAAAGTAACATACCTCATAGGTTGTGAAGATGAAGTAAGATAAATGCACATCAAGTGTTTATGAATACTTAGCGTTTACTGAGGGCTCAAATATTTAGACAGACTTCAGTCATCTGGGGGAGGAATGGTTCTGTAAGTGGTAATGATAGCAAACACTTTCCATGTTGTTTTAATAACCTTTAAGCAACCCTACTGGTATTATTCCAAGTTTACCAATGAAGAAACAAGCATAGTGTTATTGAGATCTGACTAAGTGAAAGGATCTGAATGCTAATTCAATTCAGGTGCTCTGGCTCCAGAGTCCATACTCTTAACCAATCTGCTGCAGCTGCCATCAAGTACTGCCAAAGTGATGGGGGGCTATGCTCATCAAATCAAATTTTCCAGCTAAGCAATAACTGGGGGCAGTCAGAATCTTTAGATTTACATATTAAGCTCTTTGAAATCATTTCAACTAACACCATATTTTAAATTGCTAACAATAAATGTTTATTCATAACTGAGGCCAAGAAGAATTTATAAATGCATTTTAATACCTTGCTGATAAAATAGTAACATTCCATCTTTGCAATCTGATAAGGAATACAGGAAGATATTGGTAAAGGCTTTGATGTGCATTACCTATTATATTATATCCAAGTAATCAGAATACATACACACAAACCACCTACTTTAGTGTTACACCATACCAACTTCTCAGAGGGGCCATCTTAAAGCTCTACTGGATAGCTGAGTAAATAGCTTCCAATGTTTCAGGACTGGGGAACAGGGAAGAAAGATGGAAACAGTAAGCAGCACACATTTCAAAGCCCACTTTTAAGCACACATTATATTAAAAATAAAGGATGCAAAAAAAAAAAAAGGCAATTCAGCACTTTCATACAGCATTTGGCAATATTCAACGCATGAGGAGGCTGTGCTTGGGGCCATCCACTCTTTCCAGCTTCTCAAAGTGTTTCCTGGCATTGCGAATGTTGATGAGAGTAGCTGCAGAAGGTATGGACGGATCTGACATAACCACCATCACATACGTGTTTGATGTGAAGATGTCGATGAAAGCAGCGAAGTTGGAATTCCTAACTTCCATGCTCTGGAAAGAAGCGGCCAATTTACTGCAGCTCAGCTTGAACTGCTTAATGATGTTGCTGATCTTCTCAAACCGGTGGACGTCACGCTGCTCTTTGCACTGGTAGTGTGAAATAACCAAGAACGTAGCCCTCTCGAACAGCAGAACTTCATCGGCCTCAATAATTTGGGCAAAATTCCTTAGGTTCATCTCCAGCTGCTGAACATTGGGGATGAGCTGATAGACAATACTGGACCAGGCTTTGTAGAGGGTTTCATCCCAGATGGATGTTCGGAAACAGGCGCACTCCAGGGGGCGAGACAGACGCCTCAGGTCTTCCTCTCGCTCTTTAAAAATCAGGTCACGCTGATCCTCCTGAACCAGATCCATTTTGTGCACCAGGCAGAAGATTTTGGCATCGGGAGAGTTCTGGAGGATGGCCTCCAGACAGGACTGGTAGTAATGCATGTCCTTTTCCAGTTCGCGGCTCTCCACGTCAAACACGTAAATCAAAACCTCGACGTTCCGGAAGATGTTGTCTCGCTGGCTGGTGAAGTAATTCTCCATGAAGGTGTCCTGACCGCCACAGTCCCACAGGTTCAGCACCAGGTTCCCCAGGAATCGGACGTGGGAGTGCTCCACATCAATGGTGGCACCCAGGCGCCGGGTGTCGCGAGCGATGTAATTTGCAAAGATAATCGACCTCATGCTGGTCTTCCCCGACCCGCTCTTCCCCATCAACAGCACCTTTTTCTTCATGGCTGTATTTGGCATCACCCGCCGGGACCGCCGCGGACTGGGCCTGAGGGCGCGGCCTCACTGCAGCGCGGGGCGAGGGCTGGAGGAGGCTCCGCGGGCTCGGCCTCGCTTGGCACTGGCGCAGCCGTGCAGCCGGGGAAGCCTAGGGCGCGAGTTCGGGCTGGAACGGCTTCGGCGGGGCTAGCGCTCCCTCAGAGGAGAGCGCCTGGGGCAGCCAGCTGCAACCGCTCGGGAGGCTCGCCTTCCGACAGAAGCCAGCCGCTGCCTCCGGGCCACCACCCACTTCCGGCAGCGATATCGCGAGAAACCCGCGCTCCCGCTCCCACCCACTTCCGGCCGTGGTGTCGCAACAGCGCGGTGCTGGGCGGTCGTTCCCTGTAGGGCATGGAGAAACTGCTTGGTTCCTGGAACCAGATAAAGTAGAAGAGATACGCAAGGACTCTGGTGTTTTGTTGTATTACAGCTGGGTCTACGGTTGCCAGGGGTACTGGGTAGTTGGTCTGGGGAATGCTGCCCTCTCGTGGCAAAAAAGAAAAATCCACACTCCAACACCACCACCGCCACAAATTTGCTTTGAGAGCAAGGATTTTGGACAGGGGCAACAGGCAGGTGAATTGGAGCAAAGGCCTAATGAATCCAGACTGTACAGATGAGGAAGGAGACTTTGAGATAGTAAGTGATTGCTCAGTGCTACACATGTAGATGGTGGTGACTGCTTTTTACACACCTAGGGAAGTTCCTTTCTCACATCTGTTTTTCTCATAACTTCAGACTTGAGAATTTCTTTAAAAAATATTTATTTATTTATTTATTTGAAAGTCAGAGTTACACAGAGAGAAGGGGAGGCAGAGAGAGAGAGAGAGAGAGAGAGGTCTTCCATCTGCTGGTTCACTCCCCAATCGGCTACTGTGCTGATCTGAAGCCAGGAGCCAGGAGCTTCTTCCGGGTCTTCCACAAGGGTGCAGGTGCCCAAGGACTTGGGCCATCTTCTACTGCTATCCCAGGCAATAGCAGAGAGCTGGATCAGAAGTGGAGCAGCTGGGTCTTGAACCGAGGCCCATATGGGATGCCGGTGCTTCAGGTCAGAGCGTTAACTGACTGCGCCACAGCGCTGGCCCCTGATTTGTAATATTGATCAGGTAATTTAAAGCAAAATCTATTAGGAATGATAAGTAGTTTTTGTACTAAGAGAATTCGAATAATTTTACTTCTTAAAAAGTTCCAGGTTATGGAACACACACACACACACACTCATCCACTCCCCAAAGTCCAACTTTGTTTCTGTTAATTCTCTGCCTCACCCTGACTGACCCTCGGTCTCACCTACAGCTGCTGCTTTCCTTAGCACCAGTGGGGGCCACGTGTGAATCTGGAAGCCACTGAGGACCTATTTTCACTGTGAAGAGGAAAAATTAATGATCCACCTCAAAACAGACCTGAATCACATTCACCTCTCCACAAGTGCAAACAACTTCACTTTGAACGGTTCTGGTAAAGTTATAAATGCGTACCAACTCTAACTAGTATAAAAGGTGAATATTGTATGATTAAGCCTGAACCATTACAATCTAGAAATTTATGGTGTTTGTTATTTCCATTGCTTACTCTTGAGTGATAAAAGCACGTTTTAGGTGATCCCCCTGTCTTCCACATAAAGAAAATGACTCAAGATTTTTAGATTAACAAAGAATATATTAAAACATTTTACATTCTTTCCACAACTGCATAAAAAAGCAGGCATCCTCAATACTTATAAGGAACAGTGTGTTTTCTACACATCTAAAAATTAATTACAACCAGGAAAAACATCCACAAGAATGTCTTCACCAGCTACGGAACTGCCGTAAGGAAAGGCCAACTTGCTTTACTGCACATATCTGCCTGCAGGCTGAGATAAACATTCTCTAAAAAACTGCTGACTGAATAAAGCACCTAATGTGTCTTTTATTATTTTACTTTGCATTGACCCTGACTCTTAGGCAATCACAGATCTACTTTCTCTCCAAAATTTTTGCCTTCTCTAGAAATTTCATATAAAAGGAATTACAGAATTATATATGTATTGTATTTGACTTTTCTTTAGCATAAGTTTTTGAATTCATCCATATTGAAGCATGTGTTAGTTCTTTATTTTTATTGCTAAATAGTATTCCAGGTGTAGTGCAGTGGGGTAAGCCTGGCCACCTGTGGTGCCAGAATCACATATGAGCACTAGTTTGAGTCCCAGATGCTCCACTTTGAATCCAGCTTTTTGCTAATGCACCTGAGAAAGCAGCGGAAGATGGCCCAAGTGTTTGGGCCTCATGTCACCCAGCGGGGAGACCTGGATGGAATATCTGGCTCCTGACTTCAGCATGGCCCAATTTGGGTAGAGAACCAGTAGATGGAAGACCTCTCTCTCTCTCTCTCTCTCTCTCTCTCTTTTCCACTACCCCAACTCTGTCTTCCAAATAGATAAAATAAATCTTTAAAAAAATAGGTTCCATTGTATGAATATACATTGCTACATTTTTGCTCATTCACCAATTGATGGAAATTAGGATTTTTTTCCAGTTCTTAGGTTATTATGAATAATATTACTGTGAATATCTATATAAAAGGCTTTGTGTGGACATAAGTCTTTAGTTCTCTTGGTTAAATTCACAAAGGAATTGCTGTGTCATGTTAAGTACCTGATTAAAGAACTTTTTAAAAAAAAATTTTTTTTTTTTGACAGGCAGAGTGGACAGTGAGAAAGAGAGAGACAGAGATAAAGGTCTTCCTTTGCCGTTGGTTCACCCTCCAATGGCCACCGCGGCCGGCGCGCTGCAGCCGGCGCACCACGCTGATCCGATGGCAGGAGCCAGGTACTTATCCTGGTCTCCCATGGGGTGCAGGGCCCAAGGACTTGGGCCATCCTCCACTGCACTCCCGGGCCACAGCAGAGAGCTGGCCTGGAAGAGGGGCAACCGGGACAGAATCCGGCACCCCGATGGGGACTAGAACCTGGTGTGCCAGCGCCGCAAGGCGGAGGATTAGCCTAGTGAGCCGCGGCGCTGGTGATTAAAGAACTTTTAAAGAACCTACCAAAATGTTGTTTTTTTTTTTTTTTTTTTTTTAGATTTGTTTAATTTACTTTGAAATGCAGAGTTAGAGAGAGAGAGAGAGAGAGAGAGAGAGAGAGAAGAGAGAAAGAGAAAGGTCTTCCATGGCTGCAACGGCCAGGGCTGGGCAGAGCTAGGAGCTTCTTCCCATTCTCCCATGTGGGTGCAGGAGCCCAAGGACTTGAGCCATCTTTTGCTGCTTTCTCAGGCACATTAGCAGGGAGCAGGATTGGAAGTGGAGCAGCTGGGACTCAAACTGGTGCCCATATGTGATGCTGGCACTGCAGGCTGCAGCTTAATCTGCTAAGGGACAGCGCCGGCCCTGACAAAGTATTTTATTTTTATTTTTTTAAAAGATTTATTTTATTTATTTGAAAGACAGAGTTACAGAAATAGCTAGCTAGAGCCAGAGAAAGAGAGGTCTTCCATCAGCTGGTTCACTCCCCAGATGGCTGCAATGGATGGGGCTATGCCAGGCTGAAGCTAGGAGCCAGGAGTTTCTTACAGCTCTCCCACATAGATTCAGGGGCCCAAGCACTTGGGCCATCTTCCACTTCTTTCTCAGGCCATAGCAGAGAGCTGGATGGAAGTGGAGCAGCTGAATCCCAAACTGGCGCCCATATAGGATGCTGGCACTGCAGGTGGTGGCTTTACACACTGTGCCACAGCACCACAGCACTGGCCCCCAGTTTTTCCAAAGTGGCTGAACTGGGGTTGGCACTGTGGTGTAGAGGGCTAAGGCTCCATCTGAGGTGCCAGCATCCCATATGAGTGCCCGTTCTAGTCCCGGCTGCTCCTCTTCCAATCCAGCTCTGTGCTATGGCCTGGGAAAGCAGTGGAAGATGGCCCAAGTCCTTGGGCTCCTGTACCTGCATGAAAGACCCAGAAAAAGCTTCTGGCTGCTGGCTTCAGATTGGTTCAACTCTGGCCATTGTAGCTATTTGGGGAGTGAACTAGTGGATGGACGACCTCTCTGTCTGTAAATGAGCAAAATGGCCAGGTCTGGGCCAGGCCAAAGCCAGGAGCCTGGAACTTCATCCAGGACTTCCATGTGGTTGGCAGGAACCAAGCACTTGGGCCATCTTCCACTGCCTTCCCAGGCACTTTAATAGGGAGCTGGGTCAGAAGTGGAGTAGCCAGGACTTGAACAAGTGCTGATATGGGATGCCAGCATTATAAGCAGCAACTGAACCTGCTATGCCACAACACTGGCCCCATGGCTATAATATACAGAACTTACAGCAAAATCAGCAAAGGGAGAAGGCACATGGGTCAAAGTCTGGAGGAGTCCAGGTGCATGCTTTCCAAAGTCCTCTCCCAGCGGAGTCACACAAGATGTACTTAATTCTTCCAACCCAAGAAACGTGAAATATTGTCCGCTAGGAAATCTCATCAGAGACTCAGTTCCCAGGGTGTTTACTGGGGGTCAGTCAAGTAAGCACCATCTGCCTATCACGTACTAAAAGTCCAGTGTGCAGCCTAAGTCTCAATATTTGTACAATTGTTTAGGCACAGTGAATCATTCCTGCAGAGAACAGGGCGAGGTGGGGGACTCTCCCCAAATCCAAATTCTTAGCCTAGGGCTAAACTTGTAAGCAGAATTTTGCAAGGGTAGCAGTTTCAGGCTTGCTGTGTTAATTTCTTTCTTCTTCTTTTTAAAAGATTCATTTTATTTGAGTTGTAAGAATTCTTTGTGTATTCTGCATACAAGTCTTATCAGATAAGTGATTTGAAAATATTTCTTGGTCTGTACTTACCTTTTGTTTCTCTTAACACTGTCTTTTGAAGAGTACACTATAATTTTCAGTGTCTGATATTTCAATTTTTAATTTTTATATTTTGGTGTATGTCTACTCTTGTCTAATTCAAGGTCAAAAAGATTTTCTTAAGTACCTTATTCTACAACTAATTTTTTTTTTTTTTTTTTTTGACAGGCAGAGTGGATAGTGAGAGAGAGAGACAGAGAGAAAGGTCTTCCTTTTGCCATTGGTTCACCCTCCAATGGCTGCCATGGCCGGCGTGCTGCGGCCAGCACACCGCGCTGATCCGAAGGCAGGAGCCAGGTGCTTCTCCTGGTCTCCCATGGGGTGCAGGGCCCAAGCACTGGGCCATCCTCCACTGCCTTCCCGGGCCATAGCAGAGAGCTGGCCTGGAAGAGGGGCAACCGGGACAGAATCCGGCGCCCCATCTGGGACTAGAACCCAGTG